GGCATGTTCAGGGTCCAGCCGGGGTGGCTGAGACCAGAGCTTGGAAGGTGAAAACCCTGGCCTAATGAGGTGGACCCTGGTGAGCTAGGAGAGATATCTAAGCCGAAGGATGTGGCAGTGTCAGATCTGTGACTTGAGTCCCCATTTTAGGCCACTTGAATGCCTCACAGTCTCCTCATCCCCGACTGTGCCCTGTAGCCCTGTAAAGGCTCTTGCTCTTGTCCTTGCCATGACTGTCATGGGCTCTTTGCAGACCTCCTGCCTTGGGCCAGGCTCCTCCCAGCTGTTCTCCGCTTCTGCTCCTGTTAGTCTCCTGCTGCTGCCTGCCCTTGGCTCCCCATCAGCGGCAGGAGAGCTCCTCAACTGTTCAGCACTGCCCCCGGAAGACCCCCACATCCAGTCCAAGCTAGAGCTGCCTCCCAGCCTCCTCTCCCACCTTTCCTTCTCACTCTTATTGCAGCTCCTCCCTTTTGCTGTCCCTGCTGACTCCATCTCCTGAGCCTCCAGGCACACCCAGGACTCCATGTCTCCTCTCACTTTCCCCTCCAAGCCTGGGCAAAATGCCCTTGCTGCAGATCTCCGCATAACCTTCAAGAATCTACTGGAAAGGCAAGTTCTGCTGACCTTCCCTGACCTGCTCAGAGAACAAATCCTTTCCCTTCTCAGGGCTCCCTGGCCTCTGGTACATGCTGATATGAGAGTGCACACCACGTTGCCTCATAATTTATTGCTTGCAAGTCTGTTTTCAGGCTAGAATGTAAGCTCTACCAGAGACAGCCTTGCCATATGCCTCTTATAAACTCAGCTCATAGCCCCCTGCCCGGTACCTACTTAGAAGCTCGGTGAATGTTAAATGAAGGCACTGATCTCCCTGTCCCATTTTTGCCTAGCATAATTTATCCTCCTCACCAAGTAACTATTTACTGTCAAAGGGAAATCACTTCTTTTGTGGGACAGGTTTCCATTCCTGGGTCATTGTCACTATTTTCTTTAGCCAGCCAGAGTGCTGAAGGCCTTATAAACTCAGGCCTCTGTTGCATTAGAGAGCAAGGGCACCATTCTCCAGGCCACAGCTGCCAAAGGGCCTGGAGCAGCCCCCAGACTCAGCTTGCAACAAGCCCATGTGTCTTTTTCATGTCCAACCCCCCTTCATCCACCTCTATATATTTTGGGCCTGATCAAAGGACCAAAAATATTTGTAGAGATCTCTTGGTGAATGGCAAAATGTCTCCACTTCATTTGAGATTTTTCTAATAGCCCAACTTATGTCCAAGAGGGACCACTGGAAACCAGAGAAAACTGTCCATTGGTATCAGGGCTTGCTGGTGCTCCCTATTAAATAGAGAAACAATGAAGCCCCCCCCCACCAAACATACACATTTATTGAAGGATCAGAACCCGCTGGGATCATTATATTTCTCAGCTGTAGATTTAGCACCTGTCAACTTTAAAGTTCCAAGAAAAATTCAGCAAAGGCTTGACTCCCCACCCCCCAGCTTTTAAACTTTATAGCAGCTGGGGTAGGAGCTTCAAACATCTAGGCCCAGAGGTGTTCCCTGGGGCAGACAGCAAGAGTGAGAAAGTATGTAGAACCTTAGGAACCAATTCCTGGGGGCTCTCTGGGGCCTCGGGGGGGCGGGTTCTGGTTACCTAGCACACTGCACATACCATTAATACTCAAATGCATACATGGGATAACCTTAGGTTGGTGTAGGGGAGACCTGACAAGTCTCCAAGAACTGATGACAAAGGAGTTGGAGACGGACTCTTGGAAGTTGGAGGAAGCAGAATAAAAGAATCTTGCAATAGCTTCACTGTTTGTAAAATTATGATTCATATAGAAAGACGGGGAGGGGCAGGGAAGGAGTTCAGTTAAATGTGGTTCAAGTTAGTTGGTAGTGCACTGAGAAGATGGGGCAAGGAGGAGGGAAAAGCAGAGGGGCTGACTGTAGGGGTACAGGTGAGGGTTGTCTCCAAGGGAGAACTGGAAATGTCTCATTAGAGGGGAAATATTTGAAAGGTTTTGGTATAAACATTTCTCTGACTCACCAAGGAATGAAGCAGGGTTGGGTCTAGGAAGCTTTGGAAACCCAGGTATGGGTAGCAAATACCTTTTTTTAATTGCAGTCTTGAGGATTGAACCCACGAGTGCTATAGCACTGAGCTACCCCGCCCCCAGCCCTTTTTGAGACAGGGTCTCACTAAGCTGCCCAGGCTGCCCTTGAACTTGGAATCCTCTTGCCTCAGCCTCTGGAATGGCTGGGATCACAGGCATGCACCACACCACACCTGGCTTCCTTTCTTGAGTATATTTGTGACCCTAGAGCCTTAGAAAATTTAGTCTTACACTCAAGGCCCTTCCGTCCAGCCACTGTATGTCTGTAAAGACTATCTATGGTATACATTTCCTTTGGAAGTGAGTCTAGAAACAATTATTATAAACAACAAAAATAAAACAATTTAGTTCTATAGAGGGTAGAGGAAGATGAGAAGACAAAATACATTTCCCACACTATTGAAAATGTGTGGACGACCAGCAAGGAATGTCCTGGTTAGTATGCTTGAAAGGCAAAATGCCTTACTGACTCTGTGACCATAATTTCATAATATATTTATTTAGCACCTATAATGCAGTTGAGATAAGCATTGAGGATGAAGAGGTGATTTAGGCAAAGTCCCCGGAAATGATAAATTATATCAAATAGTTGAAGCAGAAAAAAGAAGGAACACTTCTCCCCTCATCTTAGGAACTCAACATTGTGCTAATCCTAAAATTGGATAAAGATAATAGAAGAAAAAAGTATGAACATAGATAGAAATTTGTTTAACAAAACAAACTCTTAAAAGTCAGATCTGGCAGGATGTAGAAAGTGGTTTTGTTATAGGGATGGCAGTGTTGGTTCAGCATTGGAAGATCCACCCCCAAAAGTCATCATTTTAACAGAGGAAAGGAAAAAGCCATATGATCCTGTCACTAGTTGGAGAAAAAGTATTGGACCAAATTCTACAGCTGTTCATGGTAAAAGCTATCAGGAGACTAGAAGTAGAACAGAAACTTCTCAACAAATTAAAGACATGTACTCCATGGGTATGGCTTATCACTGATAATGAGACTGAGATCAGCTGCACTTCTGGTCCTCTATCCAAACTACAAGTTTAGGCAGAAAAAGTGTGCAGCTGAGCCTGCAATGGATTCAGGATACAGCTGCTAAATCTCTAGTTCTGTTGGCACTAACTGGGCTGGGTTCTGCTTGGCGGCCAAAGGCTGCCAAATCCCTGATTTAAGATATTGCCTTTCCAATGAAAAACAGCTATAATGAAAATAGCTTATGTCTTACATAAACTCTTAGCAATATAACACACACACTACCTTTAAATAGGACCTATAGCATCTTGTTACATATGGACTGTCACACTGACTTAAAACAGCTATTTTTTTGCTGTGTGCTTTTTGCCTTGATTCCATGAGTTTTATAATTTTAATAGTTCCACTTGACTCTATGCAATGATAAATTTATCTGAGACCTTCTCCAAAAGGACCTTTCTCAACATTTTAATAGTTTAACCTTGCCTTTATGAACTTAAGTCACAACTTTCCTGAGCCTTGGTTTCATCGACTATAAAATGAGGGCAATAAAGTCCAAAACACCAGGTAGTAGGAAACTTCAATGGAAATACAGGTGAAAGCAGGTGCCTATCTGAGAAATTATCCCTGCTTTAAATTTGAAAGAGAAGTCTTACAGTTTTGGATCTTGACCCCAAGGTGATGTATCTTGGGGTATAAAGACCAGATGAATCCTCTCCCAAGATAACAATGAGTGAAGAGGCCAGAAGTGAGGTGCAAAGGTGATCTACCTGAGAGTCTGATCCTGTTCAGGCTCACCAGCCTAGTCTCCCTCGCTCTTGTTCCATCCTCTCATGCTCTCTTTGTGTCAGTCTGTCTGTCTGTCTCTCTCTCATTCAGTTATAAATGTTGACCTTGCTAAATGTGAAAAAAAAGGAGGGCTCTGAAATCATCAATGGCTTCACTGCAGAAAAAAAAAAAGGTTTTGGGGCTCCAAGGAGAGCATTTAATACAACATAATACAGCCGGAGCCCAACTAAAGACCAATAAATTGACAATAATATTTTCTATATGGTATGACTCAGGTATATAAATCTGTCCATTCACAATGTAAAAAATAGTCCATACACATTTCAGCAGAATTGTCTAACCTCAAAGACTGATGATGAGTTTAACAACCACTAAGAGAGTTAGCCCAGTGTGGTGGTGCACGCCTATAATCCCGGCTACTCAGGGGACTGAGGCAGGAGGATTGCAGGTCTGAGGTTAACCTGGGCACTTAGCAATGCTGTGTCTCAAAACAACACAACACAAAAAGAGGACTGGAATTGTTGTTCAGTGCCAGAGTGCTTGCCCAGCATGTGTGAGACCCCGGGTTCAATCCTCAACACTGTAAAAACACAAAAAATAAAGTACACAAAAATATACTGAGATTAAAAGAATCTCAGTTCAACAATTTAAAAACATTGAGTTAGGCCATGAATTGTCATTGTTTTATCCACTGAAAGATTTTGCCAAAGTAATAACTTGTGTTGAATTTTCTGAATTTAGTATTTCAAAATTAAATTATATTGCTTAATGTTTCCTGAAATCATTGGTACAGAGACATTTCCCAACCAACAAATGTGTATGTGGGGCACTTTCTTCAGATGGGCCAAATTATATACATTCTTTTTTACCCATTTTTCATAATTCCTGATTTATTTATGAGTTATTCAATTGGATTATTCTACTTTAGGACGTATTTAACTCCCCCCCCCCATATGCCAAAATAGGGGCTAAGGAAATAAGTGAACATTTAACTTTTGTTTAAACATCCTCTGTAACGCACACTATCACTTTGATAAAAAGTAATGACTCTCAACTATGAGAAAGACTTATACACTAGCAAGTCTAGAACAAGAAGCAATACATGAAATAATTAAAGAAATCAACCTCAGTAATACAGATGTCTATTTTATTAAAAAAGTTACAAACAGGTGGACTGCAGGGTCATCTTACAAAATGACAAGAATGAAATCTATTGGAAAAAATTTACTTTTACAAATCTTTATAGGTAATTGTTCAATGTTTGTACTTGTTATTTGAGATTTTTACCGTTCACTGATAAAGTTACAGTACATTAGATCCATGACAAAAGGTTACATGATTTTATTTGCAGAGCCCTACTGCAGTGATTTGAACAACTCCTAAACAGATGCCATAGTAAAGACAAGACATATATTGCATTTAATATTAATTTATTATCCTAATAGGCAACATGCAATCTATTGAGGAAGCTAAAATAACTTTTGGTCCCTTTTCTTAAAATGTGCTGGAGAAACCACTTTTAAAATCACTTTCCCCTGATTCCTGCGATCCTAAGTGAATTCAAGTTAAATTTGCTGTTGAGGTCAACGACAATGAACACTGTAATAGGGAGAGACGGGGGCAGGAGGGATGACAATATTCGTAGGAAAGAAATACTGTTTTAAAAAATCAATCTGCAGAAACTTTAAATCATCATGAATTATTTGATTCCTTTAGAATTTCACAAAGCTAAAAAGATGAATCATGATCACGTAACCTACTTTGAAATGAGTGCTGGGTTTAAGTTTGGTATTAAAGTGCAAACTTAAATATTCATTTCAAGCCATTTATAAATAAGGAACAATGTTTCAACTGCCTCTACCTTTACAATCTCACCATAAAATTCAAAATTCAAGAATTAAGAGTTCATTTTGAGGGAATTTGATCAGGAATCAAATGCAACACGATTTAAAAAAAGGAAATCAAAGTTTAATCCATTTCTATTCAATAATTAATGGTCATGCTGACCAATAAGTCACATGAATGTAGATATCACTTTATTTGAACATCACACACAATATAAATTCAAAACTTGCCACACCCTTCCATAAACCATCACTGCATATATTAAGAGCTTTCCTTGACAAAGTTATTGAGCTATTATTATAAGTCAAAAGTATAGTTTTGGTTTTTTTGTTTCATTTTACTTAGAAGCATGTTCAAATGACTAAAGCTGGGCTCCTAAAATCGAGAACTTTGGTGCAGTAGGTGAGCTGCGGTTACTAACGTCTGCAAATTAAAAGCACAAATAAAACCAAATAAAAACCTAACAACAAAATACTGTCAAACTTACACAATTGAAAAATCATTGCTAGAAAAAGCGCTCATTGTCATGATGCTGAAAATGAACCAAAAGATTACTCTTTATAAGTTTCCTTTGTGTTTCTATACCTGTGTTACTGTTAAAATGTTCAAGTATTCAGACAAAATGTGCTGATTAGGTAAACAACATGGAAGGCAATGGCTATTACAATGCACATTTGCAAAAATAAAAAATAGCCCAGAGACTCGGTGCTATTCTCCCTCCTGTTACACAGATTTTGTCTCTACTACGAACATGCTTCTTGAGAAATAACTAAAAAGCAATTGTGATAGTGCAAGAAAACTTTAACAAATATTGCTTTAAACTATTATTCAGAAAGATAAATATTAAGAACTAGAAAGTATACATGACTTTACTTGAATTCAATTTTACATGTGCAGAAGTCTACTAGATGTCAATTACAAGCCTGACAGGCAAAGCTGAGCTATCTCTGTTTAGGTATACAATTAATTTACCATGGATACAATATCCCTTTTCAAAAGCATTACTAAGTAGGTCATAACTAAATTTAGAACTTCACAGAAAGGAAAATGTTACTGCCACAATTCAATGCTGTAAATGAGATTAACACATGTGAAAACCTAATGGAATCGAATACTTAACTCTTCAACTAAATACAGTCAATTTCCAATATCAATTTTAAGTTTCAGAATATGTTAATTACAAAACATCACAAACTGTACTTGAAGAAAGGGATATTCCATCCATACAGGTAAAATGTGATCTTTAGTTTCTTTTTACAACACTGCCACACGTAAACAAAGTCTCAAAATATCAACCAACCATTTAAAGGAGAAAGATTTTACAAATAGGATGGATGAAGCACTGGTACGAGGTAATATACAGAAGTAACCATTTGTTTAAGGCTCAACTTTTTTCTCCATTATAACTTTCTTTTAAAAGGCATTGAGTAGGTAATACTGAGTTTGAGTGTTTAATAAATACAAGTTGAGAAACTGATTAAAGAAATCAATTAAGATATTAAAAATTAATTCTTGCGTATTAACCATTAATAAGAACTTAGAAAGCTATAAAAGGACTGATTGCTAAAGAACAGATTTTAAATGTATGGTAAACGTGCTAAGCATTCCTGTGTAAGGTCACTGGATCTTGAAGGCCAAAGACCTTATGCACTTAGATGCATGGCAACACGCTGTAATAGAGACAGGTTTACCAAGGCTCAGTTCTGCAACCCAGGTTGTCAAGTTCTCCAAAGCAGCATCTGTGCAAATTTCCTCTGAGTTTTATCTGCAATTAAGACAAACATGTCATAAAAATGTAGAAATATAAATTATAGTTTAAAAAATAATAGACAAACAGATCTATGCAGAAGTGGTGACAAGAATGAAAATCCTCAGGTGGAATTTTACTGTGTTCTCCAGCAGTTTAGGTGAAACGTAATTTTCTATGATGTGGAAAAGACATTATAAAGTAGAAGCACAGTAATGATGTACTGGATATATTATACCATGCCTGTATAACTACTCTAGTTTGTTTTAATGTGATTACACTTTTTACTCATACTTGCATGATCTTAAAAACGTTCTTACTAGTTTAAATGATCTTCAAGTTTAAAAGCTGTGGCAAATAGTGCTCCTAATTTGAACTTGATCTCTTCGTACTTGAACTACATTAGAATTAAATCCAAGGTAATTATGAGTTAACTTGACAGTATGCTAGATTTTCCAAAATCTAGTTGTTTTGGCATTTAAAAATAAAAGATGTGATTCAATCAGAGGTTGCATATTGAGTACTTACTAGCTGCCCTGGTTTGCGCTAGATGCTAATTGACAGCAGTAGTTCACATTTCCAGTCTGGTCTGCCTTTTTTGGATATACTACTCCCAAGAATAGAACTTCTGTGATTGGGATTCCTCAGTCTCTGCTCTTATAGCTGATAGATTTCTGCCCTTCCCTTTAATAGTGGGGGAAAAAAAAATCTATCGTTCCTACAGACACAACGTCCTTCAGCTGTGCTGAATCACCAAATAGTTCCAGGGAAACGGAATCACATTTGCTTTTTAATGTGGGAGATAGAAATGTTATCATAAAGCCAGAAACAAAAGAATAGCAACTATGAAATAATGGCAATCGAAACTGGCAGAAGATCTCCAGGGGTTGTACCAATGCTTATAAATGCATAATTTTAATGTCATTTGACAACTACACTTCTATAATATTCAAAGATCCGGAGAGAACACTTTCCTAGTAGCTATATCATAACCATGATTACTTTTAAGGAACACAGCTCTGCTCATTATTGAAATTCAGCCACCTAAATACATTAGGAAAAAAAGTTTTCCTCTTTAGAAACTATCAGAAACATTTTTGCTAATTAAAATTAAGATTTTTTGCATTAAAGTTAATTGTTAATTAGGACATGGATTATTTAAACTTGGGCAAATCTAGTTTTCTCATTATTAAAATAGTGATAAAGATACTTTCCTCACAGAAAATGCTGTTGTGAGTATCATATAAGGTAAAGTATTTTATAAAGAGACTATACAAGTATCAGGTATTATTTTCATTTCCCAAATGAAGACCAAGGCCCTTTGTGGGGTGTTTTTCAACTTTGCCTGAATTTTCTATACCTATTTAAACACAACAGTATTTTATTATTGTATACAGGCAATTCATTATGAAGACTTTTCAGTAATTCAGAATACATTTCCCTCAATTCATTTGAATTAATGTTTTCTATAAATTTTAATCTACATTTTTTCAAAATGATCATAAAAAGCTTGAGATTGTAAAATATGTCTCCTAAATAGTGAAGACTTATAAAATGTGATGATTTAATAGTTGAGGCATTTTCTGAAATCAAATGAGAAAGTAGTTATGGTTCATATGGTGCCAAAGTAAACAGTAATATAAAACAGTATATTAACCGTAACCTATATTAAAAAGATTATATATTCATCACTTTCCACCCCCCCAAAAAACCTCGTTCACCTTTGTTCCATCCATATTCCTCCACAACACTCCAGTGAAATCAAGAGATAATTCTGGAATCAGACTGAACAATATTAGCACTTGGCTTACTGTTTAAAAGTTGGCATGTTGTTTAAAAGTATGCCAAGTGCTAATATTGTTCAAAGTATTGATACTGGCCATTTTTCAAGAGAACAGGGAATTAGAATTCTCTACAGTAATAAACCCTGAAACAAAAGCTTGCATTAAGCAAAAAGGACAGTGTCTTAGATTAGAACTTCAGAGAACATAAAACGTAAACATTCTTGTTCCAAAGAGACAGCAAAATTTTCAGTGTATTAACACTCTCACTCATTTAGAAAAAATAACCCAGAAATTTTAAAGGTAGCTAGTCAAATTAGTACTTTTTAATGCACAGGATACTGTATCCATACACCCTGCAAAGGTATTACTTGATGCTTCTGAGACAGAACACAAGTTAATCTTGTTCTCACTCTCAAATTCCAGCAAGATACCCACAAAATCTTAATTCTGGAAACTTCTACTCAAACTCGTGCTTAACATTTTGGTTTCACTTTATTTTCTTTTTCTAATAAAAAACGGGAGAGTACAAAATAAACAATAGCCCAAACGTTTTGCTCAGTATATTATGAAATAGTCTCCCAAGCAGGGTAAATTGGTATACAAGAGTGCCAAACACAGAATTGAAAGAACAAAGATCATTATTTGTCAGACTGAAGAAAAAGTGAGATTCTTGATTCAAGAATAACACATCATTTCACAAGGCAGCAGAATGCCTGTTGTTAACAAAAGCTCCTGAAAGGCTTAGCAGTTTGTGAATGTCTTTTTAGCTTAACTGGTTTTACCATTTTTAAATACAATGATATTTACTAGCATTCATTCTCTCACTCTTTTTTGCTTTTTTTTTTTTTTCTTGGTACCAGGGATCGAACTCTCATCCTTCCTCTTGTGAGGCAGGCAGCGGAACAACTGAGCTAAATTCCTGGCCCTACTCTCACTCTTTTTAACAAATACAAATGTGCAAAATGTGCCATCAGAGTTACTTACATTTTTTTCTTGTTTTAGGCACATTATGTTCTGGGGATTTAACCAAAGAAATGAATTTCTTCTCACACTTTTTTTACTTGGCATTTCCATATCCAAGTTAAGTATTAGTTGTATTAGAAAGATGTAAGGTTAGAATTCTGTATCTGACAGAGGTTACATTTTTGTTAAAAATCTTCAGTTTTGTTTTACTACCCTAATTCGCACAATACTTACAAACCTTACTGGGGGGTGGAAAGGAAGACTATCTCATTAAAAGTGCTGTCATCCACTAGAAACACACAGAAAGCAAAACCTGAAGCTATGCCATATATTTCCATGAATGGAAGTGCATTTGCCCTTGAATGAAAGCATGCACACTAAATGTTTGTGGTGAACCTAGGTAGAAGGGAAGAAATTTGCCATTTTTCATATATCCTAGGCCTAAAATCTCCAAGTTTTAAATTACTGTGAATTCAATTCTGAAATCTCAAATACTGTGATCAGGTCCAGTGATGATAAACAGTAGTTGTGAGCCCAGTGATGTGATTACGGTTTCTAACTGTGAATCCGACCAAGTAGAGAAGTACTACTCTCATCAACTCTACACTGCACTTTCTGAATGTGGTATTCCAAGTACTGTGGCTAGTCAAATGAATTTGGGAATATGTTTTTGATTGGGTAAGTTCTTCCAATAGAGGACAGGACTTGAATTTTTCTCAGTGACATTATCTTCTGAACTATAGAATTCCACTGAGAAGAAATCCCACAAGGAGACTCTTTCCTGTTGGATAGCTAGAACACTTCCTTGGTGGCAATTCTCCAACTCCATGATGCAATTTTTGTTAATTCTGATGGTTCATTGTAAGCCAGAGAGGTAATGGGGTAAAACCGAATGGCTTATATTCACTTCACTCTGCAATAAGAGTCTAATCTTGAGGTTAAATAGAAGCAATTAAATGAGGGAACAGATATACAGAGTCATTCTAGGTATGAGACACCTCCACTTCCAGAGCAGGTCTAACTAGACACCCGTCCACTCTAAACAGTGAACCTTTTGGGGGGTCAGTGAAAGCCTGGGCAAATGGCGGGGGGAGGGCAAAGCAGCTCTGCTCTTTCCTTTTACTCCAAGTTTACAGTAGGCCTTCATGGCACATACTACCCCAAAGCTTGCCTCTTCTGCCATCCAAGTCCTCTTCTTTACTCTGGGGTGCACTACGAAAACTAGATGACAGATGAGCATTTTAATTAAGCCATTTCTCTCATCCCCACTCAAAGTTAATGCAGAACAGGGTAGGAGTAAAAAAAAGAGTATCTAACAAATCTGTAACTTCTACGACAGACTTCCATTCCAGTGTTTTACTGATGATTAATATTTAACTTGGATATGAAAATTCCAGTTCAGGGTAGGAATTAATATTAAGGATTTTTTCCTCCGCACATGTTAAACTCCCAGCATATAACTTAGGGAAAGCTTGGAAACAGACTAAGGCATTCTGATTGTACATTGTTATTTATTTTAAAACTCTGAAAATGCTAATCAATTCCACTGTATTTAGAAACAGTAAGTCCAGTTACAGTAAAATGACATTCATAGATGGTTCAGCCTTTCAGGAGCCTTTGTTAACATCCCAGGCATTCGGTTGCCACGTGAAATGATGTGCTGGTCCTGAATCAAGAGTCTCCCTTTTTCTTCAGGCTGACATATATAATGAACTGGGGCTGACATAAATAATGATCTTTGTTCTTTCAGTTTGCTTCCTGGCGTTTGGTACTCTTATGCACCATTTACTTCACTTGAGAAAACCCATTCCATAATAAGTAAGGAAAATAGTGTAAAATCTTGCAGGAGACCTTCAATCCGAAGTGAAGAACATCCCCCACCCCGTTTTCTTTTTTTATAACTCTCATCAATACTGGAATGACACATAGAAATCCTTTAAAAATCATCTTTAAAAAATTCCATTTGACAAAGGCTATACTGAATTGTCACATTTAAGGGATAATTTTAACCACTTCTTCCCTCCTTTCAAAAATGGACAGAATTATTTTAGTATATTATACTCCTTTGAATTTCTTCTGTTTGGAAATAACTCTACCCCTCTTAGTCCCTCAAATTCTATCCATTATTCAAGGACTGAATCAAATGCTACTGCCACCCAGCTCCTCTAACTCAGTGGTTCTTAACCAGAGGTGATATTTCAACTGTCCCATGGAACATTCGGCAATTTCTGGAAATATTCTTGTTTGCCACAACCAGAGGAAGGGGGAATA